GCAATAAATTAAATATAAATTATTAGCTCTAGAATTAATAATATGTATAAAAAAAATAAGACACCGTCGGCGGTCGCCGTCCGCTCGCCGGCGTCGGACCCCGTCCACAGCTGGCAGTCTGACGGGATCCGCCTCCGACGATCGGACGGGGTCCGCCTTCGACGGTCGGACGGGGCAAAATACAGGAAGTGACCAATATTGCAAGGGGTTTACCTGATTCGCTGGTTCGACGATGTGGTACGACTGCCGTCCGGTGGCCGTGACTCCGGCTATGTGGTTGTGGGGGGTTGGTGGTCGGGTGGTGTGTAGGTAGTTTAAAAAACCAAACCAAAGAATAGAATATAAAGAAAATTTAGACGGCAAAATTATATTTTTAATTTAATTTACGGACGACAAATAGTAATAACACGTGCGACAAATAGTAACCCTCTCTATAAATAAGATAGATACCATACTACCCAAATAAATACAAATCTTTTTCTATCGTCCAGGCAAAACTTGCCTGCCTGACACAACCTAGAGAAGATTACAGTCGAATCATCATTTAATCGCAAAGATCTTGCTGCCTATCCCCCCACTCAAAATCTTTCTCTCAAAGACAGAAAAGACCATTCAATCATCCATCTATCATCATCAGAAAGAAAATGAATTGTACTTACTAATTACAACGAAAGAAAGAAGCAAATATAATTAATTTGGCCTTGATTGACATGATGATTTGAATCCCTTTATTACGTATATGCCACACCACCATGCAACCCACACCCAAAAATATGAACAGTAGAGTACAGTTACGGTCGTCATCATATCCTTCATTTCGCTTACTGCTGGCTATTGTACGGCGGTCCGTTGCATGCTCGCACACGGTTACTGCAGTGCGCCCTAGCAACACTGAATCTATGCCCTCCGTATCCCGCAACTGTGGATTTTGTATCATATATATTCATAATTCATATATAAGCACGAGACGTGAGACGTGGAAACAGTTGGGCCCCGCAGCAGCTTGTTGTCCTCAGTCAAACAATCACGTCCATTGACGCCACCATGACGATCCAATGAGTTGCTGTTATTCTGATATCTCTGTCCGTCCGTCCGTCCGTCATCTGGTGTCAGTTAAAAGTTTGCTTCGGCCTTCTTTCTTCCTTCCTTCTTCTAGCTACTATAGGAAAATGTCCTAAGTAAGCGGTAAATCGCTTTTTACAACTATTACCTCGCGTTGAAGTACTACTACAGTATTGTTGTGATAATAGAGGAGTTAGGTACAACCACAACTGATAACACCATCATAAAATTGAAAAAACAGAAACATGTTTGGTTGATAATTATAAAAAATCATTATTACCAAAAGAAATTCTGAAAAATCAATATTGAATATCGCAAATTTTATTAGATCCCGTTTAGTATCAATATTGAAAGCAGAGATGAAGAAGACAAAATTAAGAAAATAACATGAGGAATAGTGAGTTAGCTTCATGAATTAGGGTTTGCGGAGGATGAATACTTGGTCTCTCATTAGACAAAAAGACTAAGTAGTGATCATTCTCATTAGACAAAAAGAGTAAGTGGTGATCATTCTCTACTGTACAGCCTTTTACATATATGTAACTAAATTACTACCTAGTACCCACTGGCTTAGCCAGGATTTCGTTTAAAGTGGGTCCATTTAGAAGAAAAATACACATGATAAAATAGCTTTTGTTAACTTTACTAATAATTCATGATATAATTTTATATTGAAATTTTTTGGTAAATTAAAATACGGTAGTAGTCGAAATTATCATATTTATCACCCTGTGTACCAAATAATTATTAATGATTTAGTTAGCCGTTCTCTCTTAAATTTTAATGGCGTTCCTTGTAAAGAACAATTTAGAATCAACAACTCGAGTTTTTGAGAGAAGTATAATAATGAATCTTACACAAAATAATAATTCATGATTTAATTAGTCGTTCGTTCAAATGATGTTCTTTGTTAAGAATCGTTTAATATCAATAAATCGAGTTGTTGGAAGTTTCACAAATCAAAATACCATGTGCTTAAGAAATTATGTCGCAAAGATTCAAACACAACACGTTTCGATAAACTATTCTCAATAAGACGTTCCTAATTTTTGGTATCGACTAACTATTGTACTTAATTTAACCATATTTCATCTGAACCAGTGTGGGTGCCAAGGGTGGGTCTCGGGACCCACCCTCTTATACTCTCCCTCCGTCACTACTAGTACCAATAAACTACAAATTACTCATAACTATCTACAAAACAACAAACTTATATTTGTAGTCCTATACTATATCTCTAACAAAGTGTGGCATGACGAGTTATTAGCAAAACTGAGGGAGAAAAAGATATGAAAATAATATTGACAATAAGGTTTGGGAATGAGTTATTATGCGAAAATGGAGAGAGACAATATGTAAAAAGTGGATCTAGTGAGATTTAATCAGACTCATTTGAATTAAATTATTATAGTAATTGATAGGATTCTACAAGAAACCGTTTTTGAAAACATCAAGAAAGATACCTACAGTCATTTCACCGTTTCCAGATAACTTTTTGTTGGGTTGCCAACTTTTGTTGTCACAAAAACAATAATTATTTTATAAAATGAACGAAACAAAAGCCTATTCAACGATTTAAATCGTTGCAATTCGATTTGATGATATTAGCATGTGTTGAGATGTATCATATATAAAAGGCAAAATACACTTGCATAGCCAAAACTTTCACCTTTGTGCCACTTATAGCTACATTTGGCGAAATACCACTAATAGCCACTTTTGAAAGATGTTGCGTGCCAGATATAGTCATTTTCGTTAGAAACTATGACGGTGTTAATAACTCCGTCAACTTAATTATTTGACGGTCGGCTGACGAGGCGCCAAATCATCAGCCACGTCATTGACAACTAAGCAAAAATTGACACATCATCTTAATAATTTATTTATTATTTAATTTTTTTTTAACACTTTCCCCATTTACCTGATCGCACGAGTCTTCCTTCTTCCCCATCTCTTTTCAGAAAATGACCACACCTCAAAAACCCAATTCTTTCTGACCTAGATTCAATCTACATGGGTTGGAAGGTTGAACTTGAGCAATACCCAGAAAAAATACAGAGATAAGGGAAGTTGGTTGAGCGACTAATTGGAGGGGTTTTTTGTGGAGCTGCAAATTGGGGGATGGAATTTAGATTTTAGGATTGGGTTTTGCTATTTGGGGATGGGGGGATTTGGTTTTGCGGTGGGGGACTTTCCCCTTCTCTCTCTCACTAGTCTCATAAAGCAATTAGGTTTATTGCTCACCTTGCTTCCACCGCCGCTACCTCCGGCTGCTAAGCTGTAGCCTCTCCTACGAGACATATCGCAGTCGAACCCAGCGCCGCCGCCGGAGGATTCGACTTTGGAAGCAGCGCACTTGAAGTTGGGATCCAGTAACGTGGTCGACTCAATATCCCGATGTGGAGACGGTGGGCTTGATTCGGGATTGGGCTTGCTCGTCGTCCTTTTCGTCTTCGTTGACGGCGGCGGCGGTGTCGGTCTGGTCCTCCAGGTTGTCGAACTCGTCGATCTTGGCCGGTGCTTCATCGCCCGGAATGCTGTTGTTGTCGTTGCTGGAGTCGGAAATCAGGGGGTTCGCGCGGATAATGGAGGCGGAATTGGCGTCGCTACGGCGGCGAGGGGAGGTGATTCAGGGGTAGAGACGGTGGCGGTGTCGGCTGATTGGGGGCGAAGAGGAAGAGAGGCGAGAGTAGAGGAGAGAGACAGAGAGGAGGGTAAAATTAGGGATTCTGTTTTGTTTTTTTTATCCACGTGTAAAACGCAGGCTTGACACGTAAGTCCTTTCGTTTGCCCAGTCACACTTAACGTTAACAGCGTTAAAGAATCGGACGGAAGTGGCTATTAGTGGTATTTCGCCAAATGTGGCTATAAGTGGCACAAAGATGAAAGTTTTGGCTATGCAAGTGTATTTTGCCTATATAAAATGTATAGCAAAATTGGGAACAACTTGAGGTGGAAAAGAAGATCACTACACATATAAATATATAGTAATATTAAACTCAAGGAAGCGTACAACACAATGTATATAAGGTTTCAGTTGAGTACATATATGGCTAATTCACTGTGTCTGACGTTATGATCTGCAGAGTGCCGGGGGGATATCACTAGCCCTGCTCCGCTTACATGACAGCATACCGTCTCCTCCATCGTTCGACAGGAAAGAAATATTGATTACTTACTTTCCACTAGTTTTCTTTTCCCATATATACGACCTTATTAGTTATTACTTATTACTACCTTCACCATGAATTTATTAAAACCATTGTAACTAAATATCCATATCCATAAAATTTAATTTTCCCACTAATTGTCAACATATTTTAACTCAAATCCAAAATCATTACATGTCGCGAATGAGGTGAGTAAGCCAACAATATAAAAAAAAATGCATAAAACGTGTGAATCTTCTCTGTATCGTTCTTGCACATGGATCATTTTAACTCAAATCCAAAATCGTTACATGTCGCAAACGAGCTGAATTTCTCGATTTATGTGCATCATTCTTGCACATGGATCATGTTAATCTTCTCTATATCGTTCCAATTTTATCGAATGTCTCCGAAAGGACTAATAAAGTGTTGGATTTGAAAACAATCAAAATATTGTAAGTACCTGAAATATGGGGAAAAAAAGTGATTAATTACAAAGGACAAAAAAAACCATTGTTAAAATGTTGTAAGTAAATAAAATATGGGAAAATAAGAAAAAGGCAAATAACTCCAAAAGAAAAAGATTCCACGAAGAATATAATTTTGAATAAAGAACATTATTTTATGGAATTCTCTGACCCCCTATAAACTCAGATCAACCTGGGGGAACCGGTTCTTGCAAAAGGATCTCTCCGTCTTTCTCTCCCACATATTACAAAGAGTGACGACAACAAAACAGCTACGCTAAAATCACCAACACAACAAAACAACAACTTTCACGGCGGGATCATGTCTTCCAGCTTATTTCCGCCGCCCGCCGGAACTCCAATGTCGGCCTCGCCTGTCCTGGAGGGAATAGCTGCCGTCGTGGGCGAGGAGGTCTTGTACGGTACCAGCTACAGGAACCGGGCGATGAGCATCAACAGCACACGCGCCGCCGGCCCCCAGCACCACCCGGCGGCGAGGAGCTTCCGAGGGGTGAGGAAGCGGGCGTGGGGTCGGTGGTCGGCGGAGATACGGGACAGGATAGGGCGGTGCCGCCACTGGCTGGGGACGTTCGACACGGCGGAGGAGGCGGCGCGTGCCTACGACTCCGCCGCTCGCAAGCTGAGAGGAGCCAAAGCCAAGACCAACTTCGACATCCCTTCCGTCATCCCCGCACCGTTAATACCCTCCCCTGCTGCCGTTACCGCGCCGACCAAGATCAGAAAGCGGAGCAGCAAGAGCCGCGGCGCTGGCAATCACAGCAGCAACAACGACAACAACAACAACAACAACAAGTGCGCGGTGGTGACGTCAACTGCTCAGCTGTTCGGTAGCAGCAGCTGTGGAGGTAATAGTCATCATGCCGTCATGACCAGCTCTGCCGGCAGCGGCGGAGGTGGTAATAGTGGTGGGAATATGAGTAGTGGTATGGTGGAGCTGGAGCTGAAGTTGGGAGTAGGTGGTCAAGTAGGGTTTCGTTGGTATGATCTCTAAGTACTTGTACGTTGTACGTTATACGTACAAGCTACTATATATATATATAATAATAATATATATGAAATCGTAGGAGGAGATGATATATATGTTCCATACTTCCATTATATGAGTCTATGCATGCATGCGTGCTTTCTCACCAATTTTTGAACACTGTATTTAGGCTAGGCTGTTAGTGGTGAAGATGATGGATTTTAGTTAGTTGTCTGGTGGGTAAATGGAGGTTGCTCGATTACCAGCTGGGACAGGGTGTTCATCTTCCAGCTTGGGTTTCCTCTGTATTGATATTTTCTTGGTAATTGCTAATGTAGGGTAAATTACATCATGCATGTCAGTACTGAATTACCTAGCTAGGTACCTAGTATTTTCGTTTTGTGATAGCAAAAGGCTTAGAGTTGGGATTTAATTAGTGTCATCCTGCACTTACAGGAACAAAATAATAATATGTTGATGGTGAAACTGATGTTTAAATCTTACTCGTTAAATATCAAAATTCAGGATTTGAAATAGATATATTTTAGAACGGTAAATTGCAAGTTTGGTCACTAGAATTACTAAAATGTTTCAAGTTTGTCACTAAAATAAGTTTATTCTATTCATGGTCACTAAATTAGTTCAACAGTTCAAATTTGGTCTCTCTGTTAGTCTCCGTTAATTTTTGCAAATGTGGCAGTCAACTTTGATAGTTGACCGTTAAATGTGTGATGTGGCAATTAAAAATTATAAAAATAAAATTTAATCTTCTTATAATTTCCACCTCACTACCACAGTAAATTAAAAAATAAATAAAACATAAATATTATAGTTATAATTTCCGCTCCACTTCCCTCTCCAGCCATCGCCTTCTCTGATTCCACATCTGTGACTCGGGGAGCTTGAGCCTAACTAGTGATTCAGTCTTAATTGTACACTTTGTACCCCCGGTTTTCCTAGTTGTTTGAGGCATTTTTACTCCGGGAGGTTTGGTTTTACGCTGGGTTTTGCTCGATTTTGTGCATTTCAGTCTATACCAGGTGAACCAGCCCTGGAGTCAAAAGTTGGGCAAAAAGGCGAAAAATCGGGTCAAAGGATGGAGGCAATAGCTGATCACGGTGGAAGCAGTTAGTTCATGGTCAGGGCGACCGTGAACCGGAGCCGTAAACTGTGAACCGCAGGCATCCAGGGACACTTTTGCTTTCACTAGACTCAAACCCAAGCCGTAGACCGTGAACTGGATTATTGATGCAGCGCGTTGAGTTCACAACCGTGAACTGGGATCGTGATGTGAGCCAGACCTGGGTATAAAAAGAGGTTTGAGCTGAATGAGAAATGAGGAGACACCTAGTGTGAGAAACTTCTTCAGATTTCTAGAGTGAGAAAGTGACGAACCAAAGAAGAGAAGAAGATAGGGTTTTATCTTCAAGCGAAGTTTTGGGAATTCCTTCCCCAAAGGAGGATCTCTTCAACACAAGGAGCAAGGCTAGTATCTCCATGATGGTTTGCTTTCTTCTCTCTTGTGTTTCCCCTTCTTTTAGCATGGAGTAGTTCCTTATTTCACTTGGGTGTTTGTAAACCCTAGCTACAATTATGTGAATGTTTGTATGGATTGAATGATTTATGTGTGGATGTGTTTTAATATGAATTTGGAGGTATTTTCATGAAAGATTGTGTTATGTGTTTGCTTCTATTTGTCATTCTAACCTAGGTAGAGAGAAAACCCCCTTTCTTTAAAAGAGGCTTGTAAAGCTGGATTTTCTTAGGCAAATTCTGTCTCCTATCTAGGTTAATGTAGGGAAACCCTCTTTGTTCGTATTAGCACCTAGGGTTGGTTGTAATTTGGCCGTCCGAACTCCGATTCGAGGGTGAAGTCTTGACAACCCTTAGTCAATAGGTCACGAGAGCTACTTTGGTGGCTTGAATCGAATTCCCTTGACCTATTGACCGAGAGAGTGGCGTTTGTCCACTTGTTGCACTTCCCTATGGTTTACAACCTCCTTACCACACGTGTTTATTAGATCCGACAAGTCATAATTCCTAGCTAGGGGGAGCAACACCCTGGTGAAGCCTTCTCAATTAGTGTCAAATTCATTTACTTTTCCAAACGTTTTAGCTATAGATCGTTGTTGTCACCAAAACCAATCGCTAGATAATGTTACAAAAAATCAAAGTAGGGGTACATGGATCAGCCTGGATTGACATTTAAACATACTTGCCCTATATTTCACCCAATTAAGGTTTATACTTAGGCCTTAATTTAAAATTTTATTGTGATATTCGGGACGAGTCAACCAGCTTTCTGCTGAGCAAACTCGTCGAGAATAAGAAGCAGTCACCCTCCACAATGATGATGTTCACCCACGACGCCAATTTCGCTTCAAGTGCAGCCACCATCTAGCCGGCTAGCGGGAGGATATTCGATGCATGGTTTAGACTTATAGATCTCAATTTCCAGTTCTTGCAGTTTCAGCCGTTTAAAGATAGAACCTTTGAGATGCAGAAACAAGGTTAGTATACTACACTGTAAATTAAAGCGAACAACTTTCTCCTTGACATCGTGTAAATTTGGGTATTTCTTTGATACCCATTTGTAGGGGGATGATGATGATACCCATTTGTAAATTAAAGCGGCTGAGAACTTGTTGTTTAGGGTGGACGCCAACAAGGTCGCCATTGTCGGAAAAAGAATCGTGTCCTTCGTTGCAGCTGGATTATTATTATTAGGAGGGTCGCGCCACCGTCGTCTGAAAAGGCACCCGCTGTCGCTGGTTATTTGATGATTTGGAACTGGTGGCGGCTGCTGCTGCTAGGGTTTTCCCTCATCACGACCGAGGAGGAAGTTGGTGGACGAGGGAGGGAAGAGTTACTGCCAGTCTGCGACTGCCAATGGAGGAGAGACGCTTGTTCGTCCTGCAGCCGCCGCCGGGGACATTGCGGAGGGTGTCGACGCGGCCGGTCTAGTAGCACTTGCAGGCTTTGCTGAAGAGTGGAGCGGAGTAGAAATTATAATATTTATATTTTATTTATTATTTTAATTTATCGAGGTGGAAATTATAAAAAGATTAATTTTTTAATTGCCACACCACACATTTAACGGTCAACTATTTAAGTTGTCTGCCACATCGTCGAAAGTTAACAGAGACTAACAGAGAGTGACCAAACTTAAATTGTTGAACTAATTTTAGTGACCATAAATGAAATAAACTAATTTTAGTGACGAAAGTGAAACATTTTAGTAATTCTAGTTACCAAACTTACAATTCACTCTATTTTACAATCTAGAGGTGATGGCCACAATGCAGCGCATTGAGATCCTTGATCGACCCAGTGCCACTGGATTATGATTACATGCCACATTTTTCAACTTGACATCATGTTATCGTCCATATAGCATATCCCACATTACACGAAGAGTATTCCACTATACTGTCCATAAATAACCTATCTGGACAGACAAGCCCAGATAAATTGTGGGCATTTCGTAGACAATGTGAAACATTTGTAGTACGAGAAATTTAACTATACTTTATACTTTAAGGGGTTGTTTGCATGAAGCATTTACAAAACGAGTCATTTGTCTAAATGTAGGCATTTAAGAAATGTAGACATTTGAAAATGTGCGTAGTACAAATGAATTGTTTGTTTAAAAGTTTTTAGATGAGTCATTTTTAAATGCGCTATTTGTATAATGTTATCATTTTACCCTTACATGTAATATGTTCCGTTAGTTTGTTTTCTATTCTAATAAAACCAACTACATAAACAAAATTATTTTGCAACCAACAACACTTGTTATTTGGGTGTTTTGCCATGTCTAATACTACTTTTTAACTTTAAATAATAATTACATGTTAACTTTCTTTATAAAAAATAACGCCTCCATAAGTCAAATTTTAAGCTAATTACAAATGATAGTAATTGTGAACGAAAATGATGCGCCATTACGTAGATGACCAACCCTTTTTAACGTTAATGAAATTTGGAAGAAAAAAATAATAGTTCCGAGAGAAGACGTAGCAATAACATAGAAAACAAATAAGAGAAGGATAAATGAAACCCTTTTTAGCGTTGCAGCTGGATTATTATTATTAGTACTACTAGAATTGCTAATGAAATTTTTTCAATATAATAGATAAAATAGTAAAAATAATAAATGCATATCAAGAAGGAATAATAAATATACTAAAAGATTATAATCTATAATTAAAATCAATATTAGAAGATCTATTTAAACTCATAATTCAGTTAAAAGCACTACTAAAATCTTATTGATCATTAATACATCAATGTAACACCCCACCCTAAAATTCATGGGTTGAACCAATGGTTCACACGCAAAGCGGAATCTCTATTGGGGGTTACGCAAAAATTTGACTAATTAGCACTAGTAATATACATACCTACATTATTTTGATCCAAAATCACAACAATCCATTCTCAAATTACTCATCATATTCCAAACATCAACTCGATCTAGTTCATTTATTTTAGGTAAACCAAATCAGATTGGCATTCACTACTATGCTCATTACGGTACTATCTACTATGCAATACCCAAATCATCGACTCATAAAACATAAATGAGAATTATTTCAAAATCTGGGAAAACTTCAAAATCAATCCTCCATCGATCATTGTGCAGTGCCAGAGTTCCTCTCAAATCATTCGAACCTGTAAGAAACTGAACAGAAGTGGGTCAGCAACTAAGCTGTGTGTGTGGATCTTTCCCACGACCTAGTTTCGGGACCCCAATCAGCTAATCAAACACTCGCAATCAATCGTAATTTAGTACTCTAGATGCCATCTTAAATCATCATAAATAAATTATCGATCAAATTATCGAATCCACCAACTCATCATCACCAAATCAATTTATCCAATAAGATAATCACATAATTTCACTAACACATAATCAATGCATGATATGAAAATTCCGGTTAATTATTAATGGCGCCAAGGTCACCATACACTTACCCTCGCTCGAGCAAATCATCATCCGTGGTGCTCATGCAACCACAACACTC